TAAAATCACTTGAACCACCGAGAGGTGTATAGTGGGTAATATAGTGCAACAGTTATATCATACTCCCCAATCATGTCAATTGTGCCTTAGACTCAAGTACCTATCAATTGACCACCTAGGCGGATGTCACTACCCTAGTGCCCTTTAAACTATTTGAACAACCCGTAGCATTAAACTCTTAGCTTAATTTACAATTTGTAGTTTGTTAAAAGTAAAATTATAAAGAAAACCCCAAAAATGATGAGAAGTATAATTTGGAATTCTACGCAATCCTAAGCTAAATAGATACACCACTCCAATTCTAGCTCTCCGTGGAAATCGATCCCGACCCAAAATCGGGTAAAAGCTGCTCCGACCCTCTCTCGCTACATAATTAGTAGTGTGGAGAAGGTTGCGATCAAGGACGAGGAATGCCGATTATGGATCTTCGGAGCGAGGTGAGTCTCCTTTCTAACCTTGTATGAGGGAATTGTCCCCATAGGTGAAATAATTAGTTATGTGCTCCTAATTGTGGGGGCTACATATGCACAAGGTGACGAGAGTCCGTGCGTAGCTACTATTATGTGAACGTTTGTGTAGTCTAGGATCCAAAAACATGCTAAACTTGGAATATTTGTAACCTTATTGACAGATGAATTGCTTAAATCCTATCGAATTGGTAAATGAATTTCTAAAAAGATTAAACTTCATTTTTGTAAAATTGTTAAAAGAGAATTGGTTTTTCTTTGGATAATTGTTTCCTGTTGACTTCTTGGTTAATTGTCTGTATGTGTTTAATTTCGGAATGGGCCGAATGCCTCGGTAGATTAAATAGATGAATCTATAGTTCGCACCATTCGACCCTCTAGCAGTGCATAGTTCAAATATTATTGGATCGGGCCGTATGACCTCGACATGATTTGTGCATGCTTGTATTGCTTGCCTTGAAACTTATTGAAGTTGTTATTTCCTCTTCCCGGTTTGAGAATATTTGCATAAATGATGAAAAGGAATTTGGAAATTTTCTATAAAAGAAAGAATTGCTTACTTTCTTTGTTCCATCGAATTACAATCATGTTTATAAAAATCCCTGATTTACTATATTATTGAGATAACATTATTGGACCACTAGTAAGTGTCGAAGTCGACCTCTCCTCTCTACTTCTTCGAGATTAGACGGGATACTCATTAGGTACACGTTATTTTCGTACTCATACTACACTTCTGTGCATTTTTATTGCACAAGCACATGAATCTCTAGTGGCCTAGTGGGCGTAGCAGCATGGTTGACACATAGACTTAGGTGAGATGCACTGCCCAAGACAACCCACGGCCAGTAGAGTCTCTTCCAGATTATTGTATTTATTTTTTGTCCAATTTGTATTCTGGACGGTTGTTGCATTGTATTACTTCCTAGAAATAGCTCATGCACTTATGACACCAGGTTCTGGGATAGTTATGGGGTATTTTGTATTGACTTCTTGACATGTATATTTAATCTGAACTGAGTATCTCTTACTAGTAAAAATTTAAGAAAAAACAGAGTTTTTACAATTGTTTAAATGAGAATTTAATTAAGTATTTATGGTTGGCTTGCCTGACAACGGTGTCCGGTGCCATCATGCCCCTTAGTGGATTTGGGTCGTGACAACATGGTATCAGAGCACTAGGTTCCCTTAGGTATCACGAGTCATGAGCAAGTCTAGTAGAGTCTCGCGGATCGGTACGAAGACATCTGTACATATCTTCGAGAGGCTACAGGGCTGTTAGGAGCAGTTTCCTTATTGATTCCTCATCGTGCGATTTGATTTCTTGAGGCTTATGCCTTTGTTTCCTTCCTACTCAATCTTACGTGGCACGAACCGCTTGTTATAAATTGAGAATTGAAGAATTGTAATGGTACTACAGATGTGGTACGGGATGTTTCTCCTGGTATAATTGGTTGGGCTATTGTCGTCACCTTGCGGAAGGATTTTTCTATTGTTTTGGCTCGATACTTGTGCTTCTAAGAGCTTGGAGGCTATATACAGGTTGCTATGATGCTCACGATTGGTTATCGCACAGTATTGACTTGATGATAGGATACTTGCCTATGTGTTAGGACGGTGAATGATTTGAAAGGAAGTCCACTCAGTAAACGATTCAGAGATCTGATATTTCATTTCCGGCGGAGGAAAAGCAATTGGCATATGAATGTCCAGATTTGGGGTGACGGAGTAATGAGACTTGGTATTTTCAAGCATGGTGGAATTTTCATCTGCTATGTAATGTCGTCGTCCTCGATTGCATGTGTTAAGTTCGCCGGTGTTATGATCTTGTGCAATTCACCTTTGGGGTAAGATATTATGAAATAATATGGGAGAAACAACTGCCAGATATCACGGGGTACAGTGGTTCAGGATTGAATCGGTGTTTCTAATGTTGATGGCTCGAGAAAAATTTTCTTTGGAAAAGTTTAAGGTTAGTAGGGATTTCAGGGTTCAAGTGCTACGAAGATAGATTTTATTTAAGACAACAATTGAGCAGCAAAGGATGAGGAAGGACATGTGGGAATTGTCAGGCGGTGGTTAAAATTTATAGAAGTCCAGGTATAAGAAGCAAGGGTCGAGTAGTTGATTAAAGGGGTGAGTTACGCCAAAGTAGGAGAGTGACGAAGTTGTATATGAGCTTTGTGGTAGGATGACTACACACCTTAAGGAGAGTTTGAAATGATTTGGAATTTTAGTGATTGGTGATTGGGGTCTACAGATTTAATCTGAAGTATGGGCTATTATGCGGTAGGAGATTTGATATAACGGAAAAGAGCTACTTGAAATGAAGAAGGATAAAACATAACTTTAAATTGGAAAGATGTTACTGCACAATTAATTGATGTCCACGAGGGGTGAAGGGACTTGTGCAACTAGAGAGTGAGCTCGGAATCAGGTGGGTTATCTTTTGTGAGCGGATCAGCGGTCGCGTGGTTGGCGAAGCTTCTGCGAAGAGTCCTACTGGCTACCCAGTAAGAAATCGAACATAGGAATGTTGCGAGAGATTCAGGGTGTTCATGGAATGCTAACAGAAGGATTTCTAGGAATTTGGCAGTTGATTTCGCAAGGCTATGTCAGTAAAAAGTAAAGAATCTTGGTGGGTTCTAGAGTTGTGTAGTAGTAGCTCCAAGCTAAGTGGGAGAGTCGCACCGCCTATGATTGGGTTGCATGGTTAACTACTTGCGAGGTTTATGGTTATTAGCATATTGATGGGCTATTTCAGCTATGGGAAAGGAACATAAGTGGTAATTTGAGCAAAGAAATTGTTAATGGTGTGCTATAGTTGGCCTTATTGGCTCATGTTCAGACTTAGGGAAGGATTCATGATTTATGCCTTGTATAGATGCGAGTTTCAATGGAAGTGATTCTGCCGGGTGCTTCGCCAAGAAGGTATTCATGTACTAGAAGATTCATGGAGTGATTATATTCGGGGCCAAGTCAGAGCGGGTGGCTCTCAACAACGGTTCTAGTGGATTCAAAGGGGTAAAGTGTGGTGCCTAATGATTTCGAGCCTATAGGTACAATTAAGAATCAAGATTTTGTAGCAGCTCATGAGAAGAGGCCCAGGATGTTCTATGATGTTTTGACTTGCAGTGTAGCATTTGGGAGGAAAATGAGAAAAAACTTCAGATCCGTAGTGGGATTATCAAAATGGACATACCAGTTGAGGATGTGAATATGCGCACAAGGGAGGTATGAAATGGTTCATGGGATTTGAGACAGCATGGTCCCGTGATTCAAGGTCACTCGGGATGAGTGCAGATTGAGTTCGCTATGTGTTGAATGAGATTATTATTATTCCTAAGGCAATTGAGGTTGAGTTAGAAGAAGTAGATTGGTTAACTATGATTGAATTGACATGATGATGGAAATGACTAGTTCCCTTAGTGTGATTAAGTTATGCAAGTGATTTGTGACGGTACGGGTGAGGCCTGTCAGCCGCCTTAATTGATGTTATTCAGAAGTATTCCACTGTTATGGTCTGTTATGTGTAGGCGGATCCCGGAAGGGCTATGGTGGCTTAGACCACTACTTGAAGATTTACATATTCTACGGTTATGAGAATTCACCTGTGTGTTGCTATGGTTCTCCTGAAGTGAGTTAAGTGAAAATTTTTATATGATAAAGTTTTAATCTATTAGTGGTTACGGAGTTATGATAAAAATCGTGTTCTATCGTATATTGGCATGTTGGGTGCAGTGAGTGGTATAGAATTTGAAGTGAGGATCAAGATTGCAGTTCGGTGTTGACAATGATGCCACGAGCTCGGATGAGCAGTAAAGGAGTTTCGATGTTTAAATTAATTGGGTATCGTCTTCAGCGTCACCTGAGATCGGTGTTTTGTGAAAAAAGCCTTGCATCCTGGTTATGGATTCTTGAACGCTTTCTCAGCATTAGTGCGGCTGGTGGTATATGTAAGCACTTAATTTTTGACCCGATATGTCTTCAAGCTATACTAATTGCATATTTTAAATATTAGTTTGGGTTAACTAGAGTTTTAGTCTATTTTGACTTCAATTACAATTTTTTTTTTAAAAAAGTAATTAAAAAATTATATAAAATAATTTAATTAATGTTTTGTAGTCATACGATTTTATTTTACTAGAAATTTTATTTATTTTCCTCTAACTTTATTTTAATATAATCTTGAAAAATATCAAAAATAGTTTCACTTTTAACTTTTAATTTTGTTTTAATTGTTTATTCTAATTAATTAGGAGGACTTTATCTTTTTGTAAGTATTTTATACTGCATTAGAAGAAAATTGGGTTTAATAAATTTTCAACTTTTCTTAGCCAATTCTGAGCCCAACAGCCCTTATCAGCCCAATGTCATTTAACCGATTAATTGACCCCTCACCCAATACCCTTGACCCGCGACCCGCCTGCCTACCCGCCCCACTCCCTCCTTAAATCCTAACCGTTTATCCCATCTAATCCAATGACCCCTATCCTCCAACCCCACCATATAAAATCTTATTTTAGACAAACCCTAAACCTAAAGATCCATCCCCAAATCGGCGCCCACCTCTTCACCCCATCTCTGCCGCGCCCAAACCACCATAACTCCAACCTAATCTCACTCATGGTCCCCCTTCTCTTCTCTCCTTCCTCCACGTCACACATTCTGTACCGAGTCTCATCATTATTACGCATTTTTTCCTTTCTTTTTCATTTTTTGAAGCAAATCCAAAGCCTTTGGATAAAAAATTGGAAAATGGGATCCATTGGATCAAGGATTTGATCCAAGACCTCCATTTTTTGATTTTTTATTTACCAAAAAAATTTTCAAATTTTTGGTTTTTGGAGGGGTCTACACGGTTTTGAGGTTTTCTTGGAGGAGAGGAAGAGAACCTTCGAGAGTTCATATAAATACTCCCATTTTGAGGGTTTTCGGATAGACGACAATTGGGAGAAAAAAAGAGGGCTTTTAAACAATCGATCATCTTGCTCTCTAATTTTTTTTAGGTCTTAAAAACTTCAGAAAAACCAAAAAAATATAGATATATATCTTTTTACTTGTTCTATTTCTTCTTTTGAATCTGGATTTCAGTTGCAAACATGGAGATTGCCTGAGGTGTTCAAGTTTGAGGCTTCAAATTACTGTCCGCTGGAAAATTTCGATCATGGTTCCTTGTTTGAAGTTGTTCCTGTTTCCTCACTTGGATTTCGGGTTCAAAGCTTTGTTGTCGAATCTCTTACCTTCTGCTATTTAGAAGAAATTTTCGATTCTCAGGTTCATCTTCTCCTCTTTTCTTCGTTTATGTTTAAAGGTTCGATCCAAATATGATGAGAGCCAGGGGTTTAGTGGGGTTAGAAGTTGTTTGATTTTTGTTTGTTTAAGATTAAGTACTGATTTCTGAGATTAGAATATGAAGCTTGAATTTGTTGTGATTGTTAACAAGAGTGTGAAGTCGTCTTGTGATCGCTGCAGTTTCTATGAATGTTTCTGCTCGTTTGGTTGAATTGGAACTAAAAATATGAATTCTGAAATCGTCCTTTGATGTTCCCTGCCGTGTTTTGCATCGATTCACATCAGTTCTTTGACTGCAAATGAAAGACAATTTCAAGCAACCATATACTTGCTACCTATGTGATCTTTTAAACTGTTTGATTGAATCTAAGTGCCAACTGAGTTCTGAAATTGTTCTTTGGCGTTCATTGATTGTTGTCGTCATGGTCAGTTTTACTCGGCAGTTAGAACTGTTACAACTCCTTGCTACGGTTTAGTCAGATCGTATTATAAATCAATTCAGTTCGTACCCTATAGCGAGGCTTGTTTCTCCCTTGTCGTGATGTATAGGTTTGGTCGTTGGGGCTAGATATAGTTCAACTCTTTCTTACAATCTTGTTATCTCTCTAATAAATGATTCTATACGGATTTTTTAAGCCATCTCTCTGGTTGAGCTAAGCTGATAACGATGAATTTTGTCATGAATATAGCAGTTACTGTTGTCCAAACATTTATGTGCTTACACATGCGCCTCAACATAAAAAAAAAGACCGAATTCTTCTTTCGTTTTTCTGCTGATTCAGTTGAGTCACCCTTTTACCTAGAAAAAGAAAAAAAAGGAGAAATTTGGTTCCCGGATAGTCCTTGTTGTAAGATTGCTTGGTATCCTTGGGTAGTGTTAATGTTGCCCAGAAATTTGACTCACTAAATTGGAACGTAGGTGAACTTGGTTTAAATTTTGGCTTTCTTTTTCCAATGGCCGGAGAGTTTGCATTCTGTTGAAGGATATCTTTGTGTTTTGTTGATCTAATGACCTGTTAAGGACTAATTCATTTTCTCAAGTCACCATGTTAATTGAGTTTGGCACAAATGCTTTTCTATGTGAGAAGTTTCTTTTTTTGAAGTTCATAACTTGGAATTCATGATTTTGAGCATGTAAACATGTGTGTTTCTGATAGATGGAAGTTCGGGAATTGAGAAGTGAGGCGCATAAATGTGTTTAATGGGACTTTAGATGGCTCTTATCATATTTTGATTGACCATATATTTATTTGTTGCTTTATACTTTTCTCTCTTTGTATGGTCCGGAATTTCATTCTCTATTGTCTGGTGGATATTTGTTTGATTGTCGGGTCGTGGGAATTGGGAAAAGATCGAGCCCACTAGTATTCAGTTAAACTACATGCTTTAGGATTGGGCTTGGTCTAAAAATAAACTAAAAAGACTAAAAGAGCATGCAATGAGTTATTTTATTTAGCTTCTTTTTATTCATTTCATTTCTTTGTTCGCTAGCAGCATGTTTTGGGCCGTTATCACTCGGGTAGGCAAATCTTAGGTTTCCTTTATTTTATTTTTATGTTGAGGCAAGAGGTCGTTTCTTTTAGTTTATTATCCGGGGAATGCCCCTGCGCAATTTGTATATATTTTCCGGGGTATGCCCCGAAGTGCTTGTATTTGGAGGCCTAAAGTAGAACTCGTAGTATTTTATTTTCATTTTTATTTTTATTTTTTTAGGTGAGAACGACCTCGAGCCTCTTGTGTGTTTATTTTCTCGTTTCTATGTTTGTTACCTCAATTCGAATATTTTAAAGCCAACTTGATCAAGTGTGCAACCGTACTAGTTACGGGACTCGGGGAATGCCTAACACCTTCTCCCCGAGTCAAATGAACCCCCTTACCCAAATCTCTGGTGTAGACTTAGTTTTGGAGTAAAAAGTGTTTTAAAGGAAAAAAAATATTCTGAAAAAACGGTGACCTGGCACACCAAAATTAAAGTCAGGTGGAGACTCTGAGTTATTTCCTTTTGAACACAATTTTGTCACTTTTAATTAAAACCCTTTTTGAGCTTTACAAATCTTTTTATGTATATTTAAGAGGGTTAGTGAGTTGGTTAAAAAGGGGTGTGACGGCTCTGGCGACTCTGCTGGGGAGTTGCAGGTTCGAGCTGCTACTTGATTTTGTTGGCTTTTTAGAATATTCGGTTGAGGTTTTCTTTATTTGATTTATTTTTGTTTATGTCGCTTTATTTGCTAGTTGTTTTATGTGTTTACAGTTTTTCCTTTATATGTAACTACTTTATAACTGTCATCATATGCATTACCCCATCAATTCTTTCTGCAACAAGTCTCGGAGTACGCGTCGCGTACACAAACTCTTTGTTGAGTCACCCTTATTTTAGGAGGGGGGCCGTCGGACGTATGGAGTGGGTGGAAAGCTTGAGCAGCCACCATCGACCATACGCTCCCCCCGAATTGCCTTTTTAGTGAACCCCAAACTTAGATCAGCCTTTAGGTCATTCTTATTTGCATCATGTCATTTAAACCTAGCAGGGCTCGGTCCCAGCCACCGTGTCCCGTCGTAAGAGGCCTATCCAAATTATGCCAAAAAGAACCCGTGGCCCAAAATGACATTTAATCATCCTATGTGCTAAATGTTGCATCTACGAGGGTGGAAAGGTCATTTGGCGGACCGATGTTTTGGGAAGAAGGGTGAAAAATGAAGCAAGTAGGGCCTAGTTATATTTTTCTTTCACAACTTTTTCAAGAAAAGACCAAAAAAATTTTTTGAAAATGAAATATCCAAAAAGATTTTGCACTTTTCCATCATTTTTCAAAAATCAAAAAAAAGGAGAAAAAAAGAAAATACAAAAAGGTTTTAAATTCTTTATAATCTTTCGAAAAGACAAAAAAAATATAGTTTCTCCAAATTAGTTGCATTTTTTTAAAAGCTTTCTCCGATGTCCAATCTTCACGAACTACGTGAACCTGATTCTCGTCTTTCGGGGTGGAATACGTAGGCAACCCACACAGGGTTCGGTTTTTTTTAGTAAGACTTAGGTTCTTGGCTTCGCGGGGTCTTAGCCAAATCTTGCATATCTAGCCACTTTTGGCCACATCGGCTTTGTTGCAAAATGGGGCTATTTTGCGAAGTGGCTTGTTGAACCGTGTTTGGAGAGTCTAGAATCCACAATTAGGTGTCTCCTTACTTCAAGGCCCATTCCTGTTGAATTTTCATATCTAGCCACTTTTGGCCACATCGGCTTTGTTGCAAAATGGGGCTATTTTGCAAAATTTGCGTGTCCAGCCACTTTTGGCCACATCGGCCATTCTTGAGAAATGGGATCATTTTTGTAAAAGTGGTTCAATTACTCATGTCTTAGGATCTTGAGACCACAACTCAGTGTCATATCACTTTAAGGTCCGTCCTTATCGTATTTGCATCCCTAGCCACATTTGGCCATATCGGCCGTTTTGCAAAATGAGCTATTTCCGCAAAGTAAATTTTTAAGGCCATGATTATTGGAAGGTTGGAGCCGTGTAAGCTTTAAATTGAGTATTTTTCATGTATTAGGGGTCAACTTTGTTAAGTTTGCACTAATAGCCACCCTCGGCCACTTAGGCCATTTTGTAAAATATAGCCAAATCATGTCGTGCATCTGTCCTCTAGGAAATGTTGTGGTGTCACGTAGTGTCCCGAGTCGCTAACTATGTTCTCTTCATTCAGGTATGGACCCGCTGACTAGATCCAAAGTGCTGATGGTAGTAAAGATTCCTAGGAAGTTGATCAAGTGGTGGAAATTATTTTCGCTGTTAGAGCAGCCTGAGTTAATGCAGAAATTGTTCACCCTCTCTTCCCTTCTTGATACCACTCCTCGCCCAGACTTAGTGGAGGTGATGCTGACCTATTGGGATCCGCAAAATTTGACTTTCAGATTTGGAGAGTGTGAGATGACTCCTACCTTGGCGGAAATATCTGGTCTCACTCGTTTAAGCTATATAGGCAAGGACATGATACTTCCCCGAGACCATTCTAGGACAAGATTCCTCAGCGACCTGGGCCTGAAAGACAACAAGCATTTAAGATGCCTCGAGCAGTCCCGGATATCCTTAGATTATTTGTTTGCTAGATTTGGACCACATGATATTTTGACGTCTTTTGGGATGAGTTTTGCACAACCAAGGCAAAGTGGCAAAGACGTCGCCTCAAAGCTTTCAGCCTTGCTTTGTTGGGATTATTGGTTTTTCCATTAGATGAGAGGCACATTAGCACCCGTCTACAGTCAGTGGTGATGGCACTATTTCATGAGAAGCAACGCAAATTCGTTGCCGTTGTGCCGATGATTTTAGCAGAGTTGTATCGAGCCCTGAGTGAGGTTAGGGGATGTGTCAGGTATTTTGAGAGAAGTAACCTTTTGCTACAATTGTGGATGATGGAGCATTTGCACACCACTTCCTTACTTTGTCCCATCGATCGTGCCTTGAGGGATCGGGTGGTATGCATCGAGCGTAGGATGAAATCTCCTAAATTTACATACCCAGTAGGCGTCACAGCTTGGATTGAGTTCCTTGGGTTGAGGACAAATAGGAATGTTTTGTGGGCTTACCTTTGGCTACCTTTAGATAAGATCTTGGCAGGATGCCGCATGCAGCCTTTCTTGGTATTGATAGGACTTAAATGTGTCAAGCCGTACACTCCCATTAGGGTGATGCGATAGTTGGGTAGGAGACAAGAGAAGCCTCCAACTTTGAATCTTCGGAGGCACGTCATGAATTTTAGCAAAAAGTCGGCTGATGAAATCAAGTACGTGCAATACTGGAACAATGCAAAGAGGATGAAGAAAAATACATTAGTAAAGGACGTTGGCAGGCCCGAGTGTACTCAGGAGTACTTGATCTGGTTACAGTCCTTCCCACTAGGGGTTAGCATCCCATTGACAGCACAGCTTAGGGGTCGGGTAGTTCAGACAAATGATTTTGAGGAGGCATCGGACTAAGATCCTTGGGATAAGCATGAGTTGATAAAGTCTCAGTTTGCGGGATTGGCAGCAAACGTGGAGCAACATGGCCAATATTTTATTAGGGTCGGCCTTCAGGATGCAGGGGAACACGCCAGGGTCTTTATTCCCAGCATCAGTGTTTCTTTACGAGGCATGCTACAGAGTTTGAGCATGACGGATAGCTCGGGACCATCCCAATCGGGGGAATCACATCGAGGAGTTGATTGAGGAGGATTTCTGTTATTATTCACATGGTTTGAGTCTATTTATGTCGTCTTTTATTTTCTAGCCTTGTCTAGTAGTACTGAAGTTAGTGTTAGAGTTTGTCGTAGTGTAGTTGAGTCAGTCAGTCTTTCATTCTCGTACCTCCCATTTTGTAAACCAAAATTTTTAAATGAAAAAAAGATTTTATTTTATTTTCTCTCACTTTTCCAGAACTACGCTTGGTCTGATTCATAAGGGACATGATACGTAGACAACCTACATCGGGTTCGATCGAATAATTTTTTTTTAAAAACTAAGAGAAAATAAAAGAAAAGAGAAAAAAAACAAGAGAGAAAGAGTGAGAAGAAAATGATAAGAGGTGCTAGAAAAGAAAGAGAAGCAAGGATTGAAATGAGAAAATTGGGATGATTCCATATGACCCTGCGACCCTCAAACCATTTTAGAACCACTAATTATTGCTAGGTGCATTGCACGTAACGTGATATTATTATAATATAAATGCCCTAACGCTAATATTGTGGTTTTGTGTTGTTTTACTCTGTTACTTTTTTCAACAACATGAAGGTGGTTAGTTTGTTGGCATCCTGGCAAGTCATCCATACAACACCAGGTCAAAGTTCCAAACAGTAGGAATCGGATCTGCAAGAGGAGGTCCGAAGGTTGAAGCATCAGATGACGAAAATATATCAGGCCTAGATTAAGGGATACCCTCCACCCTCACTCCCTACTAACTACACAGAAAACCATGCTTTCATTCCACCACTCTCCCAATCCCAGATGCCTAATACCGTTGATCTTTCCCCATAACACGCACCAGGTTTTACCCCTTACCACAACTGCCCCGACACTTCGGCCCAAATTTTTCATGCTCCACCAGCCAAACAACCTCGTACCTTGCTCCGACATCTGCTCCTATTTTTGTACCCCCTCCACAAGCTACCCTCCACCGATCCTTTAGTGAGCCCGCATTCCAAGCTTGAGATACCCAATACTATGCCCCGAAACCCACTTTCAAAGTCCCAAATCCTTACTCCTACACTCCTCGATTTGAGCCTCATGTTGAAACTGAGAAACCACCCAAGAACGCGGAAAAGGAGGAGATGTTCAGGAAGGTGAGAAGCATGGAACAATCGCTCAGAAATATGCAGGGATTAGGAGGCCAAGTGAGTGTAGCCTACAAAGATCTATGTCTGTTCCTTGATGTCCAGTTACCTGTTGTGTTCAAAATGCCCAAATTCAACTTGTATGACGGGCACGGAGACCCCGTGGCCCACTTAAGGGGATTTTGCAGCAAAATGAGAGGAGCCGGTGGGAAAGATGAGCTGTTAATGACATACTTTTGCCAGAGTCTGAGTGGCGCGGCATTAGAGTGGTATACTCGTTAGGATCACAACCGATGGTATACCTAGGATGATTTGGCCCAAGCATTCGCCCGACATTTCCAATACAACATAGAAATTGTTCCAGATCGGTCGTCTTTGACCAAGATAGAGAAGAAGCCTAGTGAGAGTTTTAGGGAATATGGTTTTTGTTGGAGGGATTAGGCAGCACGAGTCAACCCTCCGATGGAGGAAAGTGAAATGGTAGAGTACTTTATTTAGGCTTTGGAGCCTACTTACTTTGGTCATCTGATATTGGCCATAGGTAAGTCTTTCAACGAGGTAGTGAAGATGTGAGGTATGATAGAAGAAAGGGCTTAAATCGAAAGATCATGAGCTACTCAGCTATCAAAGCAACTACCCAAGCAATTCAGAAAGGTACTGGAGGAGTAATAGGAAAGAAGAAGAAAGAAGATGTTGCAACGGCGGTCCGAGGGGTACACAACATCATTACACCCAACCTCGACCCTATTCCCGAACCTACACCCAAACTCCATATAATCCACCTCAACATTACTGTCCATCACTAGAACCTCAGTATTTTGTCAAGCCACCTCAATACCATGTCCACCACACCCAATCATACACTCAACCTCCTTCTTACCCACAACGGCGCCCAACCCCACAAAATACCTACCCAGTTCCACAAAATGCCTACCCACCTCCACAAACATACCGAAACCCTGCCGGTCCAGGCTTCTAACCCAAGCCAGTATTCAAAAATGAAAGTTTGCAGTGGAAGAAAACTTTCACCTCGCTTGGGGAATCTTATACCAGTCTATTCCGGAGATTGAGGCAGATGGACGTGTTGAGGCCAATCGAGTAAAAATTGCCAAACCCTCCTCCAAAGAATCTAGATTACTCCCTCAGTTGTGCATATTGTTCTGCTTCTCCGGGGCACGATACAGAAAAGTGTTGGCATTTGAAAAACGCCATCTAAGAGCTTATCGACACAAATAAAATTGTGGTCCAAACTCCGAAAGCACCCAACATCAATCAGAACCCATTGCCGGCCCATGATGAAATGCATATGATTGAAATAGTTCACAAGGATGGGGGCCCAAGAAGTATTCTAAGTCCATCATGATGATTCGGGCCAATGAAAGTAATTTGGTTAAAGCTTCAGACTCTACCAAAGCAAAGCCCTTGACAGTTAAAGGGGCTACAGAAAAGCTGAGCTCGCTTAATTTGAATCCACCGGTGTTGGTCATGAAAGGGCCTTCGAAAGATATTGGGGCAAGTCCGAAAAGTTCAAAAGTGGTAGTTCCAGGGATTCCAAGTAAGCCTATCATAGTTGTGAAGGGGTCTCCTATTACCCCTATCATCATTAAACCAGTGACCCAACTGCCGATGGTCAACACCAAGGCTATCCCATGGAACTATGAGCGGGTGATAGTGACCTATAAGGGGAAGGAAGTGAAAGAGGAAGTTAATGAGGCCCAGGGATTAACTCGTTCGGGGAGATGCTTTGCCTCGGAAGAGTAAAGGAAAGCTAAAACACTCAGAGATAATCCAGTTCTAGTGAAGAAATCGGTCACCGAAGAAGAGGCTGAGGAGTTCCTGAAAAAGATGAAAGTGCAGGATTATTCCATTGTGGAGCAGTTAAGGAAAACACCAGCTCAGATTTCTCTTTTGTCTTTGCTAATACATTCAGATGAATATCGCAGGGTCCTGATGAAGATTTTGAATGAGGCATATGTCCCTGATAAGATCACAGTGAATCACTTGGAAAAGATAGCCAGCATGATCTTCGCAGTAAACAAGATCACTTTCTCAGATGATGAACTTCCTATGGAGGGTACAGAACACAACCGAGCTCTTTATATCACGGTGAAGTGTAAAGATTCCATCGCCTCAAGGGTTTTGGTTGACAATGGCTCTAGTGCGAATATTTACCCCCCTCTTTTCTCTGCAAAATTGAAGATTGGCACCGAAAGAATCCACATGAACAATGTGTGTGTTCTAGGCTTTGATGGGGTAGGTAAAGATTTTGTTGGAGATATAATGCTCGAATTGTCGATAGGGCCAATTGAGTTCACCATGGAATTCCAAGTGTTAGATGTGGCTGTCTCCTACAATCTGTTATTGGGAAGGCCCTGGATACATGCTGCTAAGGCAGTCCCATCTTCTCTGCACCAAATGGTGAAGTTCGAATGGGACAGGCAGGAAATAGTGTTGCACGGTGATGAGGACTTGTCATTTTGTAATGACACAATTGTTCCGTTTATTGAAGTTGAAGATGATAAGGGACCTTAAGTCTATCAAACGTTCGAAACAACGCCTGTTGAGAAGATTCCTGAAGGAAATTGTATTTCGGGTCCTAAGCTATCCTTTGCGTCTGTCATGGTAGCGAATGAAATGTTAAAGAATGGTTTTGTACCGGGCAAGGGTCTGGGCTAATCTCTGTAGGGTATTATACATCCAGTGCACCCCAGTGGGAATCCTGGTACATTTGGTTTGGGATTCATGCCCACAGAGAAGGATGTGAAAAGGGTTAAAAACCCGAAACAGAAGGTATGGTCACTCCCCAAGCCTGTCCCACACATCGCTAAGTCTTTTATCAAGTCTGGGGCCGAAAAACCTCCAACCTCATCAATCCCAAAACCTGCGGTCGATGTTGATGAAGAGCTGATCAAGAGTTTCCAGAGTCTGTTCGATGAGGTCAATATGGTAGAAGTTGGTAAAGGTTCTAGTAAAGCAGATGTGCAGCTCGTTGGGCCAAACGTGAAGCTTAGCAATTGGGAAGCTACTCTTCTCCCCACCACGAAGGAGTTTTGGTAGTCTGATTTGTTTTCCTTTCTGTTATCTGGGTTATTTCAGGGTTGTAATCTAGATTTTTAGTTTTTGCTTGTTTTGATGTTCAAACCCTTCTATCCTTTTATTTTCAATGAAATGCAATTTCCCGTTTTCCAGTATTTCTAATAGTGTTTCATTTTGTTTTTCTTTTGTACAGTTCTTTTTATGCTAGTTGCAATGACATGACATGCATGAGGAATTTATAGCCAAGTCTTAAAAGCCAATCTAATTCTGAAATAATAATCCAAGAAGTAGAATATGATGATGAAACAGAATATGATGAAGAAGCAGCAATTGAGGAAATCAGTAAAGAGCTAAAACAATTTGAAGAAAAACCAAAGCCAAATTTGAGCAAAACTGAAGCAATCAATTTAGGGGACCAGGATAATGTTAGGAAAACTAAGATAAGTGTGCATCTAGAACCGCAAATTAAGAAGGAAATAATCAAAATATTTTTTGAGTACAAAGATGTCTTTGCATGGTCATATGACGATATGCCGGGCCTGAGCACTAATCTAGTAGTTCATAAATTCCCAACTGATCCAACATTCCCTCCTGTCAAGCAAAAGTTATGAAAGTTCAAGACTAACATGAGTGTGAAGATCAAAGAAAAAATCACAAAGCAGCTTAATGCAAAGGTCATTCGGGTCACTCGATATCCCACTTGGTTAGCTAATGTTGTGCGAGTACCAAAGAAAGATGGTAAGACCAGGGTATGTGTTGATTACCATGATCTTAACAAAGCGAGCCCAAAGGATGATTTTCCATTGCTGAACATTCACATTCTGATCGATAATTGTGCCAAGCATGAGATTGGGTCTTTTGTGGATTGCTACACGGGATATCACCAGATCTTGGTGGATGGGGAAGATGCAGAAAAGACAACATTCATCACGCCATGGGGAACATATTGCTACCGGGTAATGCCATTTGGTTTGAAGAATGCTGGGACAACTTACATGAGGGCAATGACTACCATATTTCATGACATGTGTCATGACCCAAAATCCACTAAG